TTCTTACTAAATATAAACATTTTTTGGATCAAAATCAACAATGCAAATATCTCTTGTGAGTATATTGATTTATTACAAATAAGTAATAAATATTGCATTATAGTATATATATATATATATATATATATATATATATATATATATATATATATATATATATATATATATATATATATATACATATATATATTTTTATATATATATATATATATATATATGCAATATTTATTACTTATTTATAATAAATCATTATAGAATATATTATACTCACAAGAGATATTTGCATTGTTGATTTTGATTCAAAAAATGTTTATATTTAGTAAGAAAGAACACTTTTCTTTTGCCACAATCATTAAATTTTTTTATTAATTTAAAAGCCAGACTTTTGAAAATGTTGAAATTCACAGTGCAATCAGCATAAAGTGATAAAAACTTGGACTGCAAAAATATAGCACCTTTAGATACATTTTTACTTGCGAAAATATGCCTTGGAGGAAAATCATCAGCCAGAAGTTTGCTAAGATTAAAAGTAACCATTTTAAAAAAATTCTAAATCACGATGAGAGCCGAACTTAGGTTATAACTTAAAGACTAGAAAAGAAAGTTCCGCCCGCATCCAGTTTTTTCTGAACAAAAACTAACTAACCGGTTTTTAATAAATCCACCTCTTCTCAATTGATTTTATAGCATGTTACTACAGAGGTAGCCAAAATATTATTTCACTTATAAAAAGTCAATTTGTTTGAGAAAATTAAAAAAAAAAAAAACTGGCTACCTCTGTAGTAACATGGTCTAATCGATTAATCAATACAGACACCCAAAAACAATGATCCAAACATTTTTTTTTTTCTTTTCTTGGTTTTTAATTTACAAAATGTATCATTTATTAGAAAATGTGCAAAAAAAATGAAGAAATTTGAAAATTATCTTATGTAATTCAAAGATTTAATGAAAACATGGGTTTTTCTACCCCTGAAAATCCCGCACCTAAAAAGGCAAATTTTAAAAAAATTTAACTTTTTAGGTGCGGATATTAGTTAATAAAAAAACTTTTTTTTATTAACTAATACTAACTTGTTTCAGTTTAAAAATATTTAAAATATTAAAATTGAAAATTTTTTTTTAAAAAGTAAGTAAAATCCTATTTCCAATTCGCGACGCAAGGTGCGCCGTTTGTACCGTTAAAATGATCCGCCCCGCTGATCCGCTCCGCCCCGCCCCGCCGATTGTACCTACCCCTTATTTTTCACTCGACTGAAGTTAAATTTCCGGTATATTTAAAATGTTAGCATTAGCTATAATTTCCAGACCTGTGAAATCTTATGTTCTTGGACCCTACTTTTAAATTTAGACCTTGCTTCGTGCTGGAATTATTTTAACTATTGCAAAGACATTTAAATAGGGGAAAGTGGGGCAACATGGCTAATGTTTTGAAAGGCCTGAGTTATTGCAAAACTATCAGTCGTGAAGCAATAATACTTTCTCAGTATGTTTATGTTATAAGAATGATTCATTGCCTGCATAAATTTTTACTTTGCAAATCTAACAATTTGAAATAAATATTAAAATAAAAAGTTCATAAATTTGCCATCTTGTCACGTGACCGGGGCAAGATGACTTATTATGCAATTTTTACCTCCAATTTTATAAAATTTCAAAACTACCGATAAATTTAACTAAAGTAACAAAAAATATATACAAATTGTAAACAACTACTTCTAAAGAAGTTAAACTTGAAGGACACCATCCATTATGAGAAACCGAAAGTGAGGAATTTTTTTTTAAGCGCAAAAAGTAAACTTATGCCTATAAAATTGCGTTAATAATATTTCGAAAAACCAATTGGTGTTTTAAAATATAAGACGCAAATACAGTTTTGTTTTCACCAAATTTTAAGATTTTTTGTTGAGTTGTTATACGAAAACCCATCTTGCCCCATTCGCCATGTTGCCCCGCTTTCCCCTAATAGAAAATTTATTGAATAAATAGAAGAAAAAGAGCTACAACTACATACACTTCATTTTTTAGAGTACTTTAACTTAATAAGTGGAGAACAATGTAATTTTGAGTGAAAATAACATGTTTCTTATAAAATTATCAGTTTTAAACACTTTATAAATGTTCTAGCTCTTTTGATCTATAATTATATCCAAATTACTTTTTAATTTCAATTAAGTAAATTTAATGCAAACTGACCAAGCAAAACCGCAAAATACTTCAAATATACGCTTTACAAAAACCTTAAGTTCTGTATAAAGATTTTTTTTTTTTTTAATTTTTTTTTTTAACACAAGCAGATATAATTTTTCTAAAAAATAGTAATTTTAAATTTATTTCATCTCATTTAAAACATAAGTTATAGATTGTCAAAATTAAGGTTTTTGTTAGAATTTTCGATTTAAATTTTACTGACTCGCCTTAACTACGCTGAGTCGTTTTTTTTTTCTGAAGCCAGAAAAAAAAAAAACTGAAGTCAGAAAAAAAAACACTATTCTGATTTGTTGCACATGTAAAATTCTATGTTTTTAAAAAAATAAAATTATGTTTAGGAAACCGCGTACGTACTCACTGTCTTTAAGACCTCTTTCCCCCCCCCCCCTCCTTTGTACGCACTCGTACGCTTTTAAGAAACTCCTCCCCCATACCTGCGTACGTACTTAATGGATGGCCCCTTATATAGAACACATATAGGGGGTGAGAGCAGATTTCTTTAAAAATATTGTTTTTTGGAACATTCTTAGTTAAGCGCTGAATAATTATTGAAAATATTGTTTTTTGGAACACTCTTACTTCAGCGCTGCATACATTGATTGATCAGCGCCAAAAATAAAATAAAATACCATCTGTATCATTAAAAAAGGATATGAAATCAACACAAAATTAGCTGTTGTTTCACGACGACACGGCAAACTAAGAACCGATTTCCGAACATATATTAGGAATGATATATCTTTTTTATTATAAAATAATCAGTGTATATTAATTATTATTGAGAATAATTAATTTGATTTATTTTTAATCTTTATATATTGTCGCCGCTTACATTTCAAGAGTATTATTTTGAATATATATTTCTTTTTCAATGTAATATAGTAAAATAGCGATCTCCAATGAGCCAATGATCTGCTTCTAGTTATTGTTAAAATTCTGCTCGACATACTTTACGGACAAACCCTTACATCATCATTTCACAAATTGTGTCATCAAAAAAAATTTTTTGAAAATAGATAAGGTTTTAAAAATAGTAAACACGAGCTCATAAATTTCATATTTCACATTTATTGCAAATATTTCAATTTTATAATTAATAATAATTTATTTTAAACATAAATCGCAAAGCGAAATAAAGTTATAATCACAAAGTCTTAGCAAAAACAACAACAAATGTCGTTTAATTATAGAGTAATATTATTAGCAAGCGATTGCATGCGTGTCATCGTAGAATACCAGTAAAAAAGTAAAAATTTTTACCAAATTTAGTTGATATAAAATACCAAACAAAAAAAAGAAAAACCATAACAAAAAGACTTTTCGTAATAACCGTAATTGATCAAAAGGTATCTGACATAACCTTCTCGATGTTTTTGTTGACGAAATACATATACTACTTAAAGTTGAGTTTACGGTAAGACTTAATAAGTTATTTAACTTTTTAGCCAAAAAGGGCGAAACTTTTAAAGAAATAGCGTTTGCGGGTGTTAAACCAAACAAGTTTGTTATTATTTTGGATCTTTTAGATTAGTACTTTATTTCTTGCTAACTATTTTGTATAATATTTGCTGTTGTTAGAATGCATTGCAAAAAACTATTTTCAAACTTTATTGCACATTGGCACAAAATCCAAAAAATCGCTCCAAATATTCTAAGTCTCATAATGTTTTTTTCCAAGAAACCAATTTTCGCAGTTATGTGTTTTTCAATTTCGCAGTTATGCGTTTTTCGCAGTTATGCAATTTTTTTTTACGTTTTTTCTTGAAAAACGTAAAAAGCATCTAAAGGCGTTTTGAAAAACGGCTGGAGAAAGAATATTTAAATTGCTATAAATATTTAAAATAATTGCTTTACATATTTAAAAAACGAAGTTTTTATAAATATTTTTAAATTGTTTCTAAAATATAATAAAAATGTTTATAAATATTAGAGGCACAACAAAAAAAAAAATTGGGGAAGGGGGGAGGAGGAGGGGACTTTAATATGCCCCAGAGGCGGATGCAGGATTTTTTGAAGTTTGAGATAACTAACTTCCAGACATGGAGCGAACTCAAAACTTTTATATGTTTATAGTTATATCAAATAAGGATACTTTGCATAAAATTGAGATGATAGGAGCCTGGGAACAAAAAAGCCCCAAAATTTTTGCTACACCTGCCCCAAACGTGAGAGCAACAAGTTGATAAAATAATTTTTTTACTATTCTCAACTAAATCTATATTCATCAAGAATTTTTAAAATTCATACAATAATCTCTTAACGTTCAAAAGTTATAGCCACATAAAGTTTGAATCCCCCTCAATTTGAGGGGGTTACAAATTTTATAAGACCATTATTATTGAACGCTAAAAGATTGTTTTACAAAATTAAAAATTTCTCGATGAATATAGATTTAGTTGAGAATAGTAAAAAAATTATTTTATCAACTTGTTGCTCTCACGTTTGGGGCAGGTGTAGCAAAAATTTTGGGGCTTTTTTGTTCCCAGGCTCCTATCATCTCAATTTTTTGCAAAGTATCCATATTTGATATAACTATAAACATATAAAGTTTCGAGTTCGCTCCATGTCTGGAAGTTAGTTATTTCAAACTTCAAAAAATCCTGTATCCGCCCCTGTGCCCCCTACCCAAATCACCATTTGCATACGGTCATGAAGTTTGGTCATGAAAATAACCATTAATCTAAACTTATCTACTTGTTTTCTGTTAAAATTATTTATATTTCTTTATCAATTTTGTTTACAAAATATTATTTTCGAGTGAGCTTAAATAGTGACGTGATCTTTTAAATCGTGTACTTGATTACTACATTTAATTTAAGATTTTTAAAAGAACTTAGGAAAGTAAGTGAGTTGAAAATAACCATATGGTTTAAAGGAAGTCATTAAATTTTCAAATGCTGTTGTAATGTAATTAATGTAAAAGTTGATAAATATGAACGTTTAAAAAACAAAACAATTCCGAGCAAATCGTTACGTTAGAGTTTTAACTTTTTGAGCAAATATGTTTCAGTTTTTCAGCAAAATATTTGTAACAGAAAATGGATTAAATCAGCGCAGTGTTGGATTAGCTCTAATGGCTGCTGCTGGTTTATTTCTAACACTTGGGAATGTTCTTGTGCAATATATTTATCATATCTATAAAGACTTTTCGACTTATGAACTGCTTTTTTTAAGGAGTTTTATCCAGTTACTATTTTGCATAGTTTTTATGCTTTCCCGAAAAGTTCATCCATATGGTGAGAAGAAGTTAAATCTGTTATACTTATTTTTTATGGGAGTTGTTGAAGATGCAGCAATAATATTTTTTTATCTTGCTCTCCAACTGATACCCATTGCAGATGCAACTGTTGTTCAATTCACTTCACCAGTTTTTACTGTGTTTTTTAGTTACATATTGTTGCGCAAAGGTTGTGGCATAATTGAGGTGCTTTGTGGCTGCATAAGTTTCTTTGGTGTTGTAGTTATAGCAAAACCAGATTTAATTATGCCTGATAATGGAATTGTTCCAGTAAATCAGTTGAGCAATAATATTACATCTGTATTTCAAAACCCTCAATACATGCTGGGAAGTGGTTTTGCTTTGTTAGCTGCAATGTCTATAAGCTTATTTCTCATACTAATAAAACTTCATGGATCAAAGTTTGATATCACACTTACAGTATTTTATCCTAGTTTTCTAGGAATTATTATTTCTCCGATTGCAATGCTTATAAGACATGATCAATTTTTATTTAAAGAAATCAAGGCACAGCATTGGTATATAATTGTTATTTCTGGCATTGTATTCTTTATTGGATTAATGTTAATGGCAGAAGCATTGCAGTTGGAAGATGCAGGTCCAGCAATTTTAATTCGGAATTGCGATGTTATTTATGCCTTTGTATTACAATACTTACTAATGAGTCAATTGCCTTCACGGAGTGCTTTGTTAGGAACATTTATAGTTTTAGGATCATCAAGTGTAATGATCCTCCATAGGGTGTTTAATCTGCAACAGCAGTGTTGTAATGAATGTTGTGGTAATAAATGCATTAATCAGGAGCCAATTCAAGTTGAGGAAGAAAAACATTTTATGCTAAATGAATTTGTTGAAGAAGATGAAGAATTGAATAATTAAATGAAAATAAAAAGTCTAATATATTTATTAAAAAAAGATTAGCCTTTCTTTAAAATTTTATTTATTTATGGTGCTTCTGGATTATTTATATATGTGTATATATACGTTTACTTTTATAAGATTTTTTTTTTAATGAAATGTTAAAAATTATTTGTCGATTAAAACTAACTAATTTTTTTATTTTCTCACCTTTTTTTCTTTTTGATTGTTGCCAAAGATTTTTACAAAAATTACAGTTGATATTTTTCTTATTGAAAAATCTTTTTTGAATTAATTATTTTTATTTTATATATATATATATATATATATATATATATATATATATATATATATATATATATATATATATATATATATATATATATATATATATATATATATATGTATATATATATATGTGTATATATATATATATATATATATATATATATATATATATATATATATATATATATATATATATATATATATATATATATATATATATATATATATATTAAGTAATTTTTTTTTTAAATCATTTTATTTTTTTATCTCAAATCATTTTATTTTTGAATGTTGTTATTAGATTCTTTTTTATTGTTAGACACTTAGGGTTTCATTTATTTTTTCAAATAACTTTGTTTTATAATATTTTCATGTGCAAAAAAAAAAAAAAAGTTGAAATTTTTTTCTTTTTTTCATACACCATTTAAGAATAAAAAAATTTTTCAAGATGATTACTGACAAAGATGAAGAATCATTGTTAATTTTAAAAAAAAACTTTGAAAGAAGTGAAAAAGAGTTGCTTAAAAAAGAAAAAGATAGTCTGAGTAAAATTTTAAAATGCAAAGAAGAAGAACTTAGGAAACTTAGATTATTAAAATCATACAAAGCGAAGGTAAATATCCCTCTTTTAAATATTAAAGTTTGTTTGAGTACGCTTTTGTCCATTGTCATATTTTCTTTAGAATGATCTTACTCATCTGGAAGAGTTGATTACAAAATGGCGTTCAGTGGCTGTCATGACCATTGAAGAACTTCATACAAAAAATAATAACATGTCTGAAAAAATAACCATGACCCAGTTCCTTAACATGCTACAAATAGATCCATTATTTATTCACTATGATGCAGAAAGTGAATCTTTTAAATAACATGTTCTTTTGTTTCAAACTAAACGTTTCAAATTATATTTTTAAATATTTATCTTAAATTGAATAATAGTTTTTACTCTTATGTTTAGTGGGGGTAATAAACCATATATATTTTCTTTTTTTATTTAATTTGAAAATTGAATTTTTTTTAATATAAGGATATAGGTCCTTTAAATATTAAAGTTTTAAGATATGTGTCCTTTTTGATAAGAAGTTTTTAAAATCTTTGATATTTATTATCTACCTATTCACAGAAAGTGAATAACTGCAGTGAGCAGAATGAATCAATAATAACACCTGAAATTATAAGAGTGAAGAGTCCAAATAATTGTTTGAGGAAAGATACTCATATGTTGATTACAAAATAAATTTAACTACCTAATTAACCAAATACATGATTACTAGCTATTAAGTCCAGATAAAGATAAAATGACAAGCAACTCTTGCAATACCTTCATAAGTAATAGTCTAAGTCATTTTCTAAGAGTATTTTCAAATGAAACTTCATTTGAAAATATTCTTTTGAAATTTGATCAACTGTTGGAAGAATAAAGGAAAATGAAAAACACTTTTAGTTTTAAAAAAAAGGTCAAAAACATTCTCCAACCATGTTTTCATATCCAGTAAAAATTGAACCTCCAGATTTGAATAATATATACAAAATTATTAAAAAATATATATGCGTAGTTACCCGCACTAAACATCCAGTGGACGGTAAGTCCGCTGGGCGTATAATGCTCACTTAGACATTTCTCACAAGCAACTTAGGTAGACGACAGAATTAAAAAAAGCTCAAATACATTTAGCAGAGTCCTGCATGTTTGACCCCAAAAAATTAAGTTCTTCACTCGAGTCATCTAAATATTCATCAACATTTCACTCTAGTCATACTAAAAAATATAATTGAAAATATTTTTTTGCAATTTTTTAAAAATGAAAACAGCATTTTATTTGGTGTTACCACTAAACGCTGTTTGTTTTGCGCCATTTTGATTTTAGTTATGTTGTGTACTTAATAAAGGTGTTTGTTTAGTGACTGAATTTTAGTAGTGATTTGTTATCACAGGAACAACGGATTCTCCATAAGGAATTTTCCTGTGTCGCGTCAACTTATGCTGGTTCCATTCATTTTACTCTCTGTTAAGACGGCATCACTTGCCTGAATAAATGAACAGGCTTCTTTACCAACATTTTTCACACACACACACACAAATATATATTATATATATATATATATATATATATATATATATATATATATATAAATATATATATATATATATATATATATATATATATATATATATATATATATATATATATATATATATATATATATATATATATATATATATATATATATATATATATACATATATATATATATCATTTGATATAATTATAATACAACTAAACCTACTGAAAGTTGTAATGAAACTAAAATAAATTATTAGTTGTATGGTGATGCACATAGTTAAGCTTTTTCTGTGATCTTTTTGACTGTAAAAAAGACAATACTTTTGTGCAACTGTCAACTTAGCATGAATTAACAGCTCCATATAATCTTGGCTAAAGATAAATATATCAAGTAAATATTAAAACTAGAAAAAAACTAAGTATGCTATTACTATGGTGCTTTAAAAATGCCTGATATGACACCACACATGAACCCTCACACATGAGGGCCCAGATCTATCCATATCAGCTTCTGTACGCAAAACAAAGCTGCTTTAGTTATATAACAAGCTGTTTTAAACCGCTATTAAACGTTTTTTTTTTTTTTTTTAAATTTTTTAATTTTTTTTTCCAATGTGAAAACATTGGATTATTATTTTAATTATTTCTTTATATTTATTTATTTTTGTTTAATTTCTTTTTATTACAAAATTAAATTTAATAATAAAAATATATAAAATTCGTAATATAATATTATAAATAAACATACAATATTACAATATAAGAGTTCTAAAACCTAAAAACTAAAACGTGTTAAATAATTCATTAAAATAAAACATGTTCAATAATTTCTTGTTAATAAAAAAATAAATAAATTAAAAAGAATGTACATTAAATATATATATATATACTAATATAGATAAGGGATTTTCAAAAATTTCAAAGTAGATTAGTATATTTTCAGTTGAAAAAATGAGTTTTTTAAGATTTTGTTTAAAAGAATCAAAATTACATTCTGGAGAAAAATCTTTAGAAGTATTTAGAACTATACTATTCCATAAAAAAGTGAAATAAAAAATTTTCCAAAATTAGTTTGAGAAAAAGGTTGTCAAATAAAGTTATCGTTCCTTAGAATATATTTATTTCTATCTTTTTGTAAATACAAGTCACAAAAAGAAACGGGTGATAGGTGGGTCTTGCATTATACATAAAACAAAGAATATTAAAAACATTCAACTCATATATATTGAGTGCTTTCATATCATACAAAAGAGGCTTGGCGTGAGCAAAACGGTCCTTAAAATTTATAAGGCGTGCTACATGCTTCTGTTGCCGATAGAGAGTGTTAAGTTTACTTTTATAAGTGCTATCTCAAGCAATGTTTGCATAGTTGATATGGCAATGAATTAACGAATAATATAATAAATATGCCTATACTCTTTGAAATTTTACTGCACAAGTTTGCAATGTGGCATTTCCATGTAAGATTTTCATCGATATATACACCTAAAAATCTTGTCACTAAAACTCTATTAATAACTATGTTATCGATAAATAGAAAAGGTAAGTTGCAAGGCAGCTGGTGCTTTTTACCATAAGGATGAAAAAGAATCCATTTAGTTTTATCAATATTTAGTGAGAGTTTGTTTAATCTAAACCATTCAGAAATTTTTACTAGTTGTATGTTCATATTGCTAAAAAATGTAATAATGTTATTATGAGAAAGAAATAGGTTAGAATCATCAGCAAACATAATTGTCATAAGAAGCTTTTGGTAGATATTAATATATATTAAAAATAGGAGAGGTCCTAATATAAATCCTTGAGGAATTCCACATGAAATATTTAACAAACTAGATAATACGTTATCATCCGCATAAACAAATTGTTTTCGATTATTTAGGTAACTTTTTAGATAAATTAATATTTTTCCAGTAATTTCGTACCACTCCAACTTTTTAAAAAGAATTTTGTGATCTATAGTATCAAAAGCTTTCACCAAATCAATAAAAACACCTAAAGTAAATTGAGAATTTTCAAATGAGTCAGATATATTTCTTGTAAATTGAAGATTGGCATGTTCAGTTCAGAATTATTTTTTTGGATTCCATATTGATTGCTGTATAATAAATTGTTTAAAGTAAGATGACTATAAATTTTATTGTACAAAATTCTTTCTAAAACTTTAGAGAATACAGAAAGGAGTGAAATAGGACGATAGTTACTTATATTCTCAATGTCACCACTTTTTAATATTGGTATGACTTTTGCTAATTTTAGAGCTTGTGGAAAAACTCCCTGTTTAATTGATATTGAAAAAATTCTAAAGAGTATATCTTTTAGAATATCAAATGAACTTATAATAATGCTGCCATTAATACCACCAGGGCCTACTGCTTTGTTAGCTTTTAATATTTTAAAGGCATTTTCAAACTCTTTAAAAGATAATTCAAAAGAGTTCAAGTAAGAGTTTAGAGGGAAACATAAATCATTCATTAAACTGTTAGCTATAGGAATTCTTTTTGCCAGATTTGGTCCTACAGACACAAAATATTTATTAATTTTTTCCGTAATTTATCTTTTATCATATAAAAATTCATTATTATGTTTAACCGTGTTTGGCAAAGAGTGAGATGTACATTTTTTGCTGCCATTAATTTCTCTTATTGTAAACCAAGTGCGTTTAAAATTTAATTTATATATATCTAGTAAATTTGAATAATAATTTTTCTTTTTTTTTTTTTTTTGAGGCTTTTAAAAAGTTAAGCGTAATATAATTTTATTTTCAATTGTTTTAGATTATAAGTAATTAATGTATAATTTTTGTTTAATTTTGAAGACCGCAAACCCTTTGTAATCCAAGGCGATTTAATACTTTTAGCTTTAAGATTTAAATTAACTTCAGGAAAATTAGTGTCGTAAATATCATAGAAAGTTTTAAAAAAAGAGTTATAAACTAAATTTGTATCATCAGTTAATAATGTTAATAATGCTCCAATCAATTAGAGATAATTGTTCCTTAAAAGATTTAAGATTTCATTTGTAAAAATTCGCATTCTGAAAATTCGTTTTCAATTAGGAACTAATTTATTATCTATATTTATGGAAAAGAAAATAGGAGAATGATCAGATATGTTTTTTTAATGATATGTTAAAAACATCAGTGGTTAAAATATTATCAATTAAAGAGGCACTTGATTGAATAATTCTTGTCGATTTGCTAATCAAAGGAATCGCACCATTTTCAGTATTCTCTACATTGAGCAGTTATCAACGTTTGTTAAATCTTGATATTTATTTTCTGACAATGCTATAAAAATATTGATTAATTAAACAAAAAAATCACCATAATAATACCGTATATGCTATTACTCTGTTGATTAAAGGCAGAAAACATTAGTACCTTTGCCATGACTAAGATCGTAGATTGTTAATTCATGATTTTGAAGAAACATTATAACATGGTTTTCTGTAGTATACATGATCTGAATACTAAATGCTTTATCTATTTATAGGGAACAAGCTTAAAATCAAAAAAGCCTGCAATAGCTAAAAAATGTTTGAAATTGAATTTCTTCGTTTGGTAGAAAAAAGAATTTTTTTTTTAAAGAGCAAGAATTGCTCTGATTAAACCAAAGAGGACTCAATATTTCAACAGGAGCGAGTGCTCCTGTTACAATATTGAGTGATTATCAATCTCTTGTATTCTAAAATTCCCTGGTTTTAAACTTTTGTTAAACTACTCTGATTTTTGGGTAACATATCACAAACCAAAAATCAACGAATATACGTGTTCATTTTTTATCACTGATATCTTGTGTGTATTTAAATTTACAAGAATTTAACAGTCCTTTTTTTTGGTTACAGATTTGCATGAAACATTTTCTT